TGATAATCAAGTTACGAAACCATTAGTCCTAACCTTTCGGTCAAGGGTCATTAACGTTTAGCCCTCCAAGTAAAAGCAAGACTGGGGTTGCGTAATGTGACGTTTCTGGTTATTTTCAAGAGCTTAATGTAATATTTTTGGTGAATTTGAGTGAAATTAGAAACATTATTGAGCACTTTCATTCGAAATGAAGGTCTCCCTAACAATAGTACATTTTGGCCAAAACGCCGAATTTCTGTGACGGTTTGCTTTTCCGTCCGCCCAGCTCCCTGACTTCCAGTACCTCAAAGTTGGACTGGTTTATTCGAAATGAGCATCACCCACTGACAACGTCTTTGCTTTATTGCCGAAAACCTCATCCCTTCACTTTCTTCTTCGAAATCCCTTTTCCTCCGGTTGGTGTTAGATCCTAGTCCTGGCATCTCCTTTTTGCAGGTCTTGATCTATTCTTGTTTTCCCCGAATTGGCTAACTCGGCCTTTCTCCAATCTCCTGTTCATTAAATTTTTCTCCCCAAGAATGTCAATGGCACCCCTAATCTTACGCTTCCTTGTGTTGTCACCGTATGTTGTTCTTCTTTCTATTATTACCTTCAAGTCGATCTCGTGTCCAGTCTGTGCGATGTTTTCCGCTAGTTCTCATCTTTCAGTATCCATTTTCTTGCAGAGCCTATGATGTTCCTTGATTCGTGTGCTAATCTTTCTCCCTGTTTCGCCAATATATTTCTAATCGCAGGCCCCGCATGGGATAAAGTAAACTCCTGAACAATCCAATTTGTCTACCATTTCATGTTGCGTTGGTAGACTTGAGAAAAGTGTTGATTTCTCTTTAATGACCACTCGAATATTCCATTTCCTCAATAGTGGACGTTGTTTTTGAGTTAGTTCACAGGAAGCAGGCATATCTACTTTTGGGTCTGAGATTTTTACAAGGTTCTCGGCTACTACTTCTTTGGCCAATCAGTATACCTTGAGCACTCGCAGAAAATGTCCAAACTCAACATGAGGTCAAACAACGAGGAAGCAGCCTATCGGTTACGTCGAAGTCTGAACGGTGTCCACGACATCGCCTACCGAAAAGGCCGACTTGGCAACTCGCAATGAAGGTAAAAGTGATTTAAAAACGGGAAACGTGCAGATGGCTTGTTAATTCTGCTAATATTCGCTGTAAATTTTCGAGATATAACACATTTATTCTAGTATTTTGACACATTTTATCAATCTAACAGCTCCACACTATTCAATGTTGTGTTTTGTGCTGTTTTATTTTGATCTCCTAAGCCAATTCACATCATCATTCTCTATCAGGCGCTTGTCTGTATATCCTTTTTAATGCTATAGAATGCCTGGACAGAGTAATCTGCTATCGGATATCTTCATCATATACTTTCACACGAGATGAAATTCGGCCAAAAGATTGCCCGAAGATTATGAGGGCAATGCGAGCGTGGAAGTAGCAATATTATTTTATCTCGAGAAAGCAAGAAAAAATAGTTTTTTTACGAAGTCTATAATCTAACGAATTGATTCGTCATTCAAAGGTTGAAGCACGTGGAGCGTAAATCAGGACATTGGTTGCTATTAAAATGTCCTAAGGGAGTTAGGTCACTTTGGTGACCCAGGCTTTTGTAGATGAATTGTTGACAACTGGCCTCAAAAAGGGTTTGGTTTAGTCGAGAAATTTGGGTATGTTTTTTAACTAGCTTGCAATTTCGGTACCGTCAGACAGATATATTTCCGTCTAGATTACATTATTTTATTTCTTTATTAATCGTATTTAAGCACATCTCATATATCTGATTTATTGGTTGTTTCGAAAGCCTATTTTTTAACGAAAAATGCGCAATCTTGATGGTTAGATTTTTTAAAACTAACAGTACAGCCTAGATGATAATACTTTTTGGTAGGCATGTTTATGCTAAAGTTAATGCTATGTGAAATATACTTCTACTATTGTGGGAAAATTAACTAGTCTTCCCACACCTTAAGCAAGTCAGTGTGACTACATCGCTTCTATTCATTTCTTTGTGGGACTTCCAACTCGAATTTGTAGTACATTCACAATGTGAATGTATAAATGTGGCTTCTTACGCGTTGGGTGTATGCAGTTGTTCTGAATCAACCGAAAGGTATGAGTCAAAACCATACTAAAGGTGCATCCTCTAGCCATTATTCTACCAAATAGCCATAAAGTTACATGACAATTTTTCCTCATTTTTTCGTCCAAATCTGCACGTTGACGAATTGTAAAGTCTGGATAGCCTGTATTTGCTACATGCTCAACCAATTTTGCTTTCTGGATCCATACACCATTTGCATAAGCGACCTCATCTTCTCCTCAAATGAAAGGCACAATTGGGGAAAGGTACTCTTTTACTGTATGCATGTCGACCTCGGGAGCCTGACAGACTTGATGAACTCCCGGTCTTGCTCAAAAGGGAAGTGTCGAAAAGCCAATTTTTCTTCATATCTGGCATGTGCCGACGCCTAAAGACGACTAGATCTATCTTCACTCTCGCGGCTGATTGAGAAACCAGACCGTTTTGTCAGTTTGCATGCCTTCACTTCATGACCAGCCTCCTTTTCCACGGCGTCCAGAGTCACAGGCCAACCGGACACTTGCATCCCTGCTGGCGTCCATTTCATCGTCAAGCCCTGGTTGTGTGTGTGTGTGTGTGTGTGCATGTCGGCCAACCGATTGTGCTGCTCTGTGCATCCAGCCCGCAGGAGGCCGTGAAACACTTGCTCGGTAGACTGATCTCGATCAGGGGCCTGGCCGAGTGCACTTGATCAGCATCATATTGCCGATTACCAAGCAAATAAACAAAACGGTACAGCACAAGTTGGTGTTTACTTGCACGTCGGTCTGTATAGGCCCTAGGAAAGAGTAGCAGGGAGGTCAGTGATCAATCTCCAGACAATTAGTTGCGCCTGGCGACAGCTGTGAATGGCTACAGTTGACGGGTTGACAAGACTTTAGACGTCTTCTCGCTTCGCTGCCTCCCCTCCTGCGCCCGCCCACAAGTTCGAGTCTGCTCTCCACAGTACCGAAAAGTCTGCCGACTTGACCAATCACAACTTCGTCTCGCCTGCACCGGAAGCGAAGACATACCTTTTCGCATCTGATCGAATAAATAGCCATTCATCGGAATCGCAGTCAGTTCTGTTTGTCTTTGTGTTGCCAAGTGACGGTTTGGAGTCTCTCTTGTCAACAGACGTTCGAGGATCGGTGCCCAATTCGGCCGAAGGATCGCCTCTTCAGGTCGGCCCAGTTGCCGAGTCGAAGTGCCGACAGACCATGGCCGATACCCGCAGCAACATGTCGGGCCGATCAGATCTCGAGCACATGCTACAGCCGGCCCGTCTTCTTCGTCTACTCATCATCCTCTTTATGTGCCTCGGAATTTGCCCTCACAGGCACACTCGTAAGACACTGACTTGTCGACCATTTTTGTTTACCATTTTTGGTGTTGTTTTAACACACCGTCGAATGAGCGTTGAGCACACTTTCGTGCTGAGTGGAAGTAAATCTGTTGAAATCACCGCGGCCTTTTAATTGGCTCCGTGCCCGAAACCGTATTTTTAGTTGCAATTCCAAATGACAGATTTCATCATTTTCGTCAAGAACCCTCATAAACATAAGCATTTAGT